GCCAGGAGGCGTTTTTAGTGTCCCTCCTCCTTCTTCTCCACCCCTGCCTGCCCGAGCCCCCCACCTCATTTCCGACTCTCACCCGGGTCATCTGAAATTACACATTGTGTAGGCTAAGCCTGGATGATGTGTCTAATGTTTCCAACTAACTCAGTGCAATAATGTCCTTTTCTGTGGCTGGGAGCTCGGGACAATGCAGGCTCCCCAGCCAAGCCACATTGCATAAGGTAGCAAGGAACGCTTCTCCATCCATCAGGAAATGAACCCCTTCAGACTTCATAGACAATGGAAAGTCTATGAGGCCTGGGCACTCTTGGCTCCTAAAATCTCTTGTGGAACGCTGAGATTTGTTTCAGGAGCAGGAGGGGAGCTAGGAGGGTAGGAAAAGGAAACGAGGGATTAAGATAACCCTGTACAGGGCAGCCCATTGCTCTGATCTTTCCTGTTGAGCACACATCTGGGTTCTGGCACAGCCATGGGGCAGCTCTTCCTGAAACTGTCAGCCTCACACCTCCGGAAGCTCCTGCAGCACCCGGATGGTGGGGTCAGAAGGAGAGGTCAGGGGGTTTCAAGGCCTGCAGAAATCTGGGTGCCACTACACCCCCAAAGGCAGTAGGAGCAGCTGGAAGTGTTTGGAGCAGATGGGGAGTGGGCAGGGCCAAGTGGTGGCCCCAGCTTCCCACCACCTCTTCAGAGGATGTGCTGGATAAGGACACACGGAAGCTTAGACGTGGGGGTCCCAGAAGAGGGGGTGGCAGGACCAGTAGAAGCTTCCCCTGGTTTTGGGCATCTCCCACTCCATTGAGATCTGGCCCATTTTGATACCTCCCACACTGCGCTGAGAGCCACTGCCCGGGCATCAGTCCCCTCACCCTGCAAATGGGCACACAGAGATGCTGTACCATAAAGCCACGGGAGGGCAAAGGTCGCATATCCTGTGTGCTGTGCTCAACAATTTGTCAAAATCTTTCTCTTGTGAAGGCCCAGGAAGAAAAAGAGTCACATCACTTAGGTCATGTGCTCAGGGATATTTCCCAGTGTCCCCAGTAGGCAAGCCTCAGGCACACGAGGATAGCCCACCACCTAGGCGCTTCCCTAGGAATATGTCACAATGTAACATGTGGGGAGAAACCAGGCAGAAGAGCCACATCACTTGGGTGCTGGGTCCTGAGATATGTCACAAGGCTCCCTTAAAACAGCACCCAGACTCCTGGTGGCTGGGTCTTCCCCTGTCAATCCTCTTTGCACATCCTTGCCACATTAACCTTCCCAAAATACCACGTGCATGAACCACCACCATCCCTTCCCCCTCCATGCCGCCCCCACCCCACACTCTAAACTCTTCGAGACTGACTCTGAGCACATCCACTTATTGGCTCCTGTACCGGGCAGATGAGAATACTGAGTGAGACTCAGAGAGATTCTGTAACACCACAAAGGCCCCACAGCTGGCTAGTGGAGCCACTTCCCTCAGCAGTGAAGCCAGAAAGGAAACACAGGTCAGTGTGAGCCTGTCAGTCACTTGCTCTCCCTCGGACCCACAGGACCAAGCCCCTGACTCTTCACCTGGATGTCAAGGTCCCCATCACACTGACTAGTCCTCCAACCCTCGTCCTTTACACGAGCCTCTCACTCAGGCCAGGCCAGTCTCCCTGCTCCTCAGACTCATCCCCACTACTCACACAGGGACCCCACCAGGAATGCATCTCCTTCTTCATTGTAGCCAGTTTCTATGATGGCTTCCATATTCCTCTCCCCAGTATCCACATCCTTGTGTAGTGCCCCCACCCACACTTAATAAGATTGACCTCTGCAATGAATAGAAATGATGGGGTGTGGTTTTCCAGGCTAGATGGTAAAAGATGCTGTAGCTTCTTGGATCATGTGCTCTGGGGAAAATCAGCCACCATGTTGTGAGGACACTCAAGCGTTACTGTGGAGAAGTCTCGGTTGCCAGGAGCTGAGGCCTCCCACCAGTTTGCCAAACACATGAGAATATGCATTTGGAAGCAGATCCTTGGCCTTGATCAAGCCTTTAAATGATGCAGCCTGGCCAACACCTTGACCACAACCTCATGAGAGACCCAGAGCCAGGACTGCCCAACTATGAGACTTCCAGATTCGTGACCCACAGAAACACAGATGTGTCTTACTGTGTTAAGTCATTAAGTGCTGGGGAAATTTGTTGTGCAACAGTAAACAATTGATACACACCCTCTTGGTTTTTCAGAGTCCTTCCCTCCCTCAGAAGCCAGGGTCAAGCCCACCTCCATTCCCACTCCTGGGAAGACTGCTCTGATGATTAGCCACAATTTTACCCTCCCCTGAGCCCCGTACAGTGACCTTGACATACACTTGGATATGGCATCCACTCCTATAGCCTCGAAGAGCATCCACAACACAGGAGCCCCTGAGGACAAGAGCCTGCTGGCTCCCTCATGCCCCTGAACCCGGGGCGTTGGTACAGGAGCACAGATGATCCTAATGATAGCCTCAGAGAGCAGAGCAGACTCATGATGCCTCAGCAGGAGGGTGACTGGAGCAACTCCTGCCCCTGGAAAGAATGAGAATTCGCTTTTACCAGGCCTTTGCTAGGTAGAGGCAGGGTCAACTACATACTTGACAGGTATCCCACTGACTCCCTGGGGAAAGAAGGTATCCCTGTTATCCCCATCCTACAGACAAAAGCAGCTTCAGCTCATTGCCCAAGTTCACTCCGCTCACCCATGTCTGAGCCAGGACCGGAACCAGCTGCTGGCTCCAGTGTCCACACAGTCCTTCCTGCCCTGTCTCAGGAACTGCCACCCCTGCTTGCTCCTCAATGCCCCAGTGCTCCAAAAGCCTTCACTCCATGCACCCACAGGCATGCACCAAAGCTGGGGGCTCACACAACCCGCACAAACTCAGCACACTCACCCAGCCCCGCCCCAGGCCTCTGATGTCACCAGACCTCGAAAGCCAGGAAGAGACACAAATGCATTGAACTACGGTCACAGAGGAACAGACGGTGACAAGAGCCGCACCCTCCACCAGGAACCCATACCACTCAGAAGGCCACGCGAGGAGGAAGCAGGGCAGAGTTGGGAACCTGAGGCCCAGAACCTGCTCCTGTGTCAGCTCATTCACTCACTCGCCATTCATGGACAAAGTCCCTGAGCACCTACTGCACCAGGCAGTCCCTGAAAACGCAGTGGGGAATGCGACAAGCTCTCCTGGGCTTCCAGCCCAGCTACACGCTTGACAAGTATCCCACTGACTCCCTGGGAAAAGAAGGTCTCTTTGTCATCCCTGTCCCATGGAGAGACTGAGTTAGCCAAGCCCCAGCTCTCCCTGGATGTGCCAGGTGCCCGTGAGTGAGTCTTCAGCCTCTCTGGAGCCTCACAAAAGGGAGGTGATGGGGAGCAGTGGCTCTCACCCAGGGGACCTATCGAGGGACATTTGGCAATGGCTGAAGACATACTTAGTTGTCATGCCAGGCAGAGGTGGGGAGTGCTACTGGCATCTGGTGGGTAGAGGCCAGGGATGCTGCTGAGCATCCTACAATGTACAGGACAGTCCCCACAAAGAATGACTCTGTCCCACATGTGGATAGCACCGCCGCAGCGGAGAAACTCTGACTTGGAGGGATTGGTGAAGCTGCAGGTGGAGAGACTGCAGCACCAACCCTGGCAGCTGGACAGCCCCTGACAAAGGTGTGTTCCCTTCTCCAGCCATTCCTGAGGGAGGACCCTGAGCCCTGCAGGGCCCCAGGCCGTTGCTTTATACACAGCCTCTCTGCCTGTCCACCCAGGTCCCAGGGCAGGGCCATGTCAGCGGAACCCAAGGCCAGCTCATGGGTGGGAGGAAAGCATCCCAGGCCTGTTCCTTACCTCTGATGGCCCTGGGTATCTCAAACCCCCATCAGGACTCAGGGTCTCCCCTCCCACAAGGTCCCAGCAAGGCCACATGCAGCCTGCACTCACCCATCAGGCCCCTGTCCTGCCGTGCCTCCCCAGCCACCACTGCCATCCAGGCCTCCCCAGCTGAGGGGCAGGATCTTCCTACCAGAGCTGAGCAGTCTGAGGCCAGTGTCCTCCCACTCTGGGTCTTGGTTCCCCACATAATGGGAATCAAAATAACCACAGCCCTGACCCAGGTCACAGCATGTGCTTGGGGTGGGGTACCTGAGTGTCCCTGCTCAAACACAGAACCTTCCCTCTGATCACTAATGCTGCTCTCTATGGGATTGTATTAGTTTGTTCTCTTGCTGCTAATAAAGACATACCCAGGACAAGGTAATTTATGAAGGAAAGGAAAGAGGTTTAATTGACAGTTTCACATGGCTGGGGAGGCCTCACAATCGTGGCAGAAAGCGAAGGGGAAGCAAGACACATCCTCCATGGCAGCAGGCAAGAGACAGCATGTGCAGGGGAGCTCTCCTTTATAAAACTGCCAGATCTCATGAGACTTATTCACTACCGCAAGAACAGTACAGGCGCAACTGCCCCCCGTGATTCAATTATCTCCACCTGGCCCCTCCATCCTGACACGTGGGGATCATTACAATTCAAGGCGAGATTTGGGTGGGGACACAGCCAAACCATATCAGGGATCCCAACCCTGGAGAAAACAAAGGGTCAAGCACTGCTTTTTCTGCAGAGTGTTCACCGTGGCCATCAGACACAGCAGAGTCAGGAGGACTGTCCTCTGACCTGAGGCCAACAGACTGCTGTGACCCCTCATCACCCTTCCCCTGGGCCCAGGTCAGAAGTCTGCGCCCAGGGCTCCTGTTGGAGGCTCCTCATCCCCACTAAGAGCCTGCCACAGACTAGACACGTTGGGCTACACGGGCCCTGCATCAGGGCAGTCATCTTTACCAGCAGCAAAACGCCCTCGATGACAGAGCCTTGGCAGGCTCCAGCCTTGACCCTGGCTTTCACATCCAAGGGGTTTTGTTAGAATTTAGGATTCCCACCAGATGGATGATTCCAAGTTCATTCACTTGTGCCACAAACACTTACTGAGCATCTGCTGTGTGCCAGGTGCCGTGGACAGGGATGTGTGTGACTCACAACCTCACTGGGGCACACAGAGTCTGTCCACCACTGTCAGGATCATCATGAGGAGTTGATGCTGTTCTGGAGACTCCGCATTACAGCCCCCTGGGTCACTGAGGGAAGAGACACGAAACAAGAAATTCACAACCCAGGAAAGACCCACTGTCCAGGAGGGGAGCCGGCAGCACCCTCACCCTGATACAACCGCCTGCCAATAACACGGGTTGAATCACACCCAGGTTCCCGCGTGGGTGCAGATCTAGACGGCCTGATGTGGTGAGACCTGACCTGGGAAAGCTGCACGGCGTCGAGGGACCGATTCCCAGCCCTGCCACTCATGCTGTTCCACCTAGACAAATAACTCGTTCTCTTGTAAATCCAGTTTTCCCACTCTGAGAAATAGGGCCAGGAACCTGCTGCGGGGTGAGGAGAGTGGATACAGTCTGATTACAATGTTTGTGTGTGGGCTGGGTGGCTCTGCCCGCACACTGATGGAGAAGGTGCCCCCAGGCTGAACAGAGAGAAGGCGGAGAACCCCTGGGGCGCAGGCAGGCAGCAGCTGCCCAGGGCTGGAAAGGACGGCAGAGATGGCTGATTGCGGCAACCCAGCAACTGCATCTTCTAAGCAGTGGGCAGGATTCAGCCTTGGGGTCCCCTGGACAAGGACACGGATGTGACTTGGCTCTGTGTCCCCATCCAAATCTCATGTTGAATTGTAATCCCCAGTGCTGGAGGAAGGCCTGGTGGGAGGTGACAGGGTCATGGGGGTGGATTTCCTCCTTGCTTTTCTGGTGATAGTGAGTTCTCACGGGATCCAGTTGTTTAAAAATGCGTGGCTCCTCCCCATTTTCTCTTCCTCCTTCTCCAGCCATGGAAGACACACCTACATCCCCCTCACTTTCTGCGGTGATTGTAAGTTTCCTGAGGCCTCCCCAGCCACACTTCCTGTACAGCCTATGGAACTGTGAGCCAATTAAACCTCTTTTCTTTATAAATTACCCAGTCTCAGGTATTTCTTTTTTTTGTTTGTTTGTTTGTTTGTTTGTTTTTTTGAGACGGAGTTTCTCTCTTGTTACCCAGGCTGGAGTGCAATGGCGCGATCTCGGCTCACCGCAACCTCCGCCTCCTGGGTTCAGGCAATTCTCCTGCCTCGGCCTCCTGAGTAGCTGGGATTACAGGCACACGCCACCATGCCCAGCTAATTTTTTGTATTTTTAGTAGAGACGGGGTTTCACCATGTTGACCAGGATGGTCTCGATCTCTTGACCTCGTGATCCACCCGCCTCGGCCTCCCAAAGTGCTGGGATTACAGGCTTGAGCCACCGCGCCCGGCCATTCAGGTATTTCTTTATAGCAATGTGGGAATGAACTAATACAGTCACCCTGCCGTTCTGAGGGCAAACAGTTGGGCAAAAGCTGATGCCAGCACCAAAAGCCCCAGGACAGCCCAACAGTTTCACATCTGTTCTTCACAGGTAGCAGAGCAGCACTGGTCAACAGCTGCCCATGTGGACAAGGGCAGCTGTGACAGGGACAGCCTGGCCAACTGCTGGTGGCCACAGGACATGGGCACTGCAGGGCACTACAGACAAAAGTGAATTCACACCAAAGTAATTCACAGTGGATCACAGACCTAAATGGAAAACCTACAACTACAAACCTGGAGGAAAATAGAGCAGAAAAGAGAGGGACAGAATCAGAATCCGGAGGGAGCCAGGTCTCATTTCTGCGACTCTGAGTTAGGCATGAGTTCTTAGCTAAGACTCAAGAAGCACAAAGTATAAAAGAAAAAAAATCATAAATTAGACCTCATCAAAATAAAAACATATCCTCAAAAGACACTGCTAATAGAATGAAAAGACAAGCCGCAGGCTAGGAGACAATATTTCCAAATTACACACATTATAAATACCTCTCATCCAGAATACAGAAGAACTCTTACAAGTCAGTTATAAGATAAGCAATGCCTATTATTTAAAGACACTTCACCAATGAAGAAAACAGATGGCAAGTAAGCAACTGGATGGCAAACTGAAAAGATGTTCAACAGCATTAGAGAGTCGGGCAAGGCAAATTAAAACCACCGTACACTTACTAAAGTGGCTAAAATTTAAAACTGACAATACCAAGTGTGGACAAAGATGTGGAGCAACTAGAACTCTCATACCTTGCTTTTGGGAATCTAACATGATGCACCCACGTCGGGAAAGAGTTTGGCAGTTTCTTATAAAGTTAAATATACGATTAACATATAATCTAGCAATAGTCCCACTCTGGCACATCCCCAAGAGAAATGAAAACATATGTGCGCACAAAGACCCAGATACAAACGTTAGCGGCAGCTTTTGCAAACACTTTTACTTTTTTCTACTTTTATTCGTAGTAGCCACAACTGGAAACAACCCAAATGTCCACTAACCGCTGAGTGGGAAAGCGAGCTGTGGTTCATGCAACATTCAGCAGTAAAAAGGAACCGCCTACAGATACACGCAACCACATGGGTGAATCTCAAATGCGTGTGACAAGTGATGGCGCCACATTAGACAGCTGCACACTTTACACTTCCATTTCTGTGACATGCTAGAAAACCACAGGAATGAATAGCAGGTCACTGGTTTCTAGGGGCTGGGGCAGGGGCAGGTGTTGCTGACCAAGGGGCAGCATTGAAGGACTTCTGGGAGACAGGGCCGTCCTATGCCTGGCAGTGGTCATTGCACGATTATGTCTTTGTCAGAAGTCATCAAACTGTAAAAAGGGCCACTTTTGCTGCGTGCTAATTATGGCTCAATAACACCCCAAACAAAAGTCACTCACTGTCCTCATCATTGAAAGTAACACTGAAGGAAGAGGAGGAGCATGCCCTACGTGGCAGACATGGTGCTGAATGACCGAGGAGTCGCATTCCCTGTGCTCAGGTACCCAGAGGGCCCTGGGCTCTCTCCATTTTACAGGTGAGTAAACAGAGGTCTGGAGGTGCCAGGTCACCCAGTGCCACCCAGGAAGGCTGGGATGGAGTTGGGACTTCCACCCAGACCTGACTACAGCGTCACCCCCCAAACCACGAAGGCTGTCCTGGGAGAGACCCTGGGGATCAGCAAGATCCTCCTTCTCCTGTTTTCCAGAGGAAAGGATGAGGCCTCAGGGGGCCCGACCCAGCCAGGCTCACGAAGAGAGGGACAGAATCAGAATCCGGAGGGAGCCAGGTCTCATTTATCAATAAACACCTTCCTATGACAATCTTGGGAAACACCCCAAGACACGGCTGGGCACGGTGATTCACCCCTGTAATCCCAGAACTTTGGGAGGCCCAGGCGGGTGGATCACAAGGTCAGGAGATCAATACCATCGGGCTAACACAATGAAACTCCATCTCTACTGAAAATACAAAAAAAAACAAAAACAAAAAAAACTTACCCAAGCGTGGTGGCCTGTAGTCCCAGCGACTCAGGAGGTTAAGGAAGGAGAATGGCTTCAACCAGTGAGGCAGAGGTTGCAGTGAACCGAGATTGCACCACAGCACTCCAGCCTGGGCAACAGAGCAAGACCCTGTTTCAAAAAAAGAAAATAGAAAAAATAAAAGACCCCAAGGCATGACAGGAACGAGGCTGTACACAACACAGGGGCACCAGGGTGAGCCCCGCCCCCACCCTCAGGAAGCTCCCAGTCCCATCTGGCACCAGGTCATCTCCCAGCCCCTGGACGCTCCTAGGCCCAATACGCCCAGGAGTGCATAGTTCCCTCCTGAGAGTGATCCTGGGACCTTGGTGATGATGGAAGCTGGGGGTTCCCCATGGCGGGGGTGGGGGGACTGGGGTTACAGCAGGGAGGGAGGGGGACCCATGACATGCCTCAGGCCTGTCCAGGAGGGATTTCAGCCCCAGGGAGAGGGTGAAGAGAGGAGTACCATTGAGAGTCCACGTTGGGTTCCCTGACCTGCAGGGAAAAGCAACAGCTGGTGGGTGAATCACGCACCAGACCTTTCTGGGCTGGCAGCTGGACCTGTGCACCCCTCCTCGGTTCTGACCAATAGTTCTGGAGTCAGAAAATGCAAGTGCTCAGCTCTTTAGCCCAGGAATTCCGGGCAGGCATGTACAGCCTCAGGAACACACGTGCAAGGTGCCCCACCTAGAGGCAGGAATGCAGAGGAGGCATTTGCACCACCAGGCAGGTCTGAACACCTGGGGAGGAGACCGTCCCCTCCGTCTCTCCGAGCTTCCCACCCTGACTTCCCATCCTGGCTGGGCCACCTACCAGCTTCTCTGTGCCTCAGTTTCCTCATCTGGGAATTGTGGGTTGCAATCCTATGTGCACCCCAGTCTCTAATGGACATGGTGTATGCAAAGTACATCTCCGTAGGCCTGGCACACAGCTAGGAGCCATGTGGCCAGCCCACGGTTGCCCTTGGGAACATGGGACAGCCCACTGCCTGGAAATTTGGTGGCTCTGGGATTGGCCAGACATCTTCCATGGAAAGCCAGGCAGCCCATGCTGAGACACGGTGGCCCATCGAGATATCGCGGTCTGGGAACCTTTCCAGGCCACCCCTGGGCAGCTGGGACAGTGCCAGGGACCTCGGCTAGCTCACACCAGGAGGCTCCCCTGCCAGGCTGCCTGTGCCCTCAAGGCCTGACCTAGACACCCAGAGGGAAGGGGCTCTGGGACAGCAGAGGTGGGGAACGGCCTTCTGGGCCTCTGTTTAGGATCAGCATGACACTGAGAGGACATCCCGGACAAGAGCCGGCAGGGACCACAAGCCTACAGGCCTCTGACATCCACAGACCTCCAAAGTCAGGAACAGATACAAATGCATCGAAACACGGTCACAGGGGAACACAATGCCGGTGAGAACCCACGCTGATGAAAGGAGGGCTCAGCTCTTTTGAAACATGGATGGAAAACTCCAGAAGACAGAGACCCTTATTTAGGAAGTGCCCCAATCCCTGAGCACGCAGGACATCCAGGCAGCCGTCAAGGCCCCCCCACCAAACTTCTGCAAGCTGCATTTCCTGGGATTGGAAAATACTTCCTCCCCGACTCCCCAGGAGCGTCCTCTACAGTAGGGAGCCTAAGTTAACAGATGGGACCACTGAGGCTTACGGAAGTCACGTTCCCTCTCAAGGCCACAGCGCCAGAAATGGCAGAGCCAGGACTGGAACGTAAGATTCTGATTCTAGCACTCCGACTGTTTCACTGGCCCTCCTCCCTGCACCGTGCAGATTCCACCGACCCAGGAAACCCTCACACCCACCCCCCTCACCGCCATCGAGGCCCCACCCAGGAAGTCAGTTTCTGGAAGGATGGCAAGGTTCATCACCTTGAATGGACACTTAGATTCTTTATTCCATTAAAAAAAAGAATGTATTATCATTATCATTATCATTATTATTGAGACAGGGTCTCACTCTGTCACGTGGCTGGAGTGCAGCGGCACAATCTCAGCTCACTGCAGCCTCAACCTCCCAGGCCTCAAGCGATCCTTCCACCTCAGCCTCCCTAGTAGCCAGGACCACAGGCACACACCACCACACCCAGCTAATTTTTGTGTTTTTTGTAGAGACAGAGTCTCACTATGCTGCCCAGGCTGGTCTCAAACTCCTGGCCACAAGTGATCCACCTGCCTCGGCCTCCCAAAGTGTTGGGGTTACAGGCATGAGCTACCGCGCCCGGCAAACAATTCTATTGATCTATTCTAACTGTGTTGGAATAGGGACTGACCAGTATTACACATTGTACTATTTTCTGGGCCCACCATAACCAATTACCACAGGTGGCTCAGAACTGTGGAAATGCTTCTCTCTCAGCTCCGGAGGCAGAAATCCAAAGGCAAGTTGTCGGCTGGGCCGGGTCTGCTGAAGACTCCCAGGGAAGGTCGGTCCTTCCTTGCCCCTGCCAGCTTCTGCCAGTGCCTGGCATTCCTTGGCTTGTGGGCACATCACCCCAACCTCTGCTTCCATCGGTGCATGGTCTTCCCAGCCTGTGTCTCTGGGTCTCTTCTTCTTATGAGAATACCAGTCATGGGGTCAGGGCCCAGCCTGCTCCAGGATGACCTCCTCTGCACTTGAGCACATCTCAAAGACCCTAACTCCACAGAAGGTCATATTCTGAGGCTCTGAGTGGACATGAATCTTATGGGAATATTATTTATTTTTTTTAATTAACAGATAACATACATATTTATGGGACATATGTGATATTTCAATACATGTAGATGATCCCATTTCAACATGTAATGATCACAGCAGATTGCCTGGGAGGTCTCTCACCTCGAGCACGTGTCTCTTCTTTATGTTGGCAAAATTCCAATTCTTCTCTTCAGCTATTTTGAAATATGTAATAAATTAGGCACTACAGTCCCCCTACTGTCCCATAGAATAGTAGAGCTCATTCCTTCTGTCCAACTGTAATTATGTATCCATTAACCAGCCTCTCCCTATCACCCCTCCCTGTCGCCCTTCCCCTTCCCTGTAACCACATCTCCCTCAACCACTTCAGTGAGATGTACTTTGTTTTAATCTCCCCTTATAAGTGAGAGCATGAGGTTTTTGTCATATAGGGCCTGGTTTATTTCACTTACCATAGTGTCCCCCAGCCTCATCCACATTCCTCAAATGACAGAACTGCATTCTTTTTTATGGCTGTATAATATTCCACTGTGTATATGCACATCATCTTCTTTATCCATTCACCCATTGATGGACACGCAGGCTGACTCCATCCCTTAGCTATTGTGAGGAGCACTGCAGTGAGAATGTGGGTACAGATGTCTCTTTGACATGCTGATTGCCTGGTCTTTGTATATACACTCACTGGTGGAATTGCTGGGTCATATGGTAGTTCTGCTTTTAGTTTTTTGAGGAATTTCTACACTGCTGCCCATAAGGCCGCACCGTTTTACATTCCCACCGCGAGTATACAAAGGTTCCCTTCCCCTGTATCCTCACCAGCATTTGTTGTTCGATTGTTTTTGTCGTTTTGGTAATTTTATGTCTATTTTAAGTGGGATAATATCTCATTGTGGTTTTGTTGTTTAGTTTTGGTTTCTTTTTTTTTTTTTTTTTTTTTTTTTTTTGAGATGAAGTCTCGCTGTGTCACCCAGGCTGGAGTGCAGTGCCACAATCTCCACTCACTGCAACCTCCGCCTCCTGGGTTCAAGCAATCCTCCCACCTCAGCCTCCTGAGGAGCTGGAGTTATAGGCATGCACCACCATGCCCATCTATTTTTTGTATTTTTAGTAGAGACAGGGTTTCACCAGGTTGGCCAGGCTGGTCTCGAACTCCTGACCTCAAGTGATCTGCCCGCCTCAGCCTCCCAAAGTGCTGGGATTATAGGCATGAACCACCGCACCCGGCCCTCCTTGTGGTTTTCATTTACATTTCTCTGACGATCACGATGTTGAACATTTTTTCATATGTCTGTTGGCCCTTTGTATGTCTTCTTTTGAGAAACGTCTATTCAGAATACTTGCCCATTTTTTAATGTTATCTCAATACTTTTCTGTTGAGTTGTTTGAGTTCTTTATATACTTTTTGTTGCCAGTGCTTTTGAAATTTTAGCCATAAAATCTTTGCACAGACCAAAATCCTGAAGTGGTTCCCCTATGTTTTCTCCTAATAGTTTCATAATAAGTCTTCAATTCATTTTGAGTTTTTTGTGCGTATGGTGTAAGGTAGGGGTCCAACTTCATTCTTTTGCAAATGAATATCCAGTTTTTCCAGGACCATTTATTAGAAACTGTCTTTTCCCCAATAGATGTTCTTTGTGCCTTTGTTGAAAATCAAGTGTGGATTTTTAATGCTGTAAATGTGTGAATTCGCATCTAGACTCCATTCTGGTCCATGTGTCTATGTGTCTGTTTTTAGCCAGTATCATGCTGTTTTGGTTACTATAGCTTTGTTGTATATTTTGAAGTCAGCTGGGATGCCTCCAGCTTTGTTCTTTTAGAACCAGATTGCTTTGGCTATTGGAATCTTTTGTGGTTCCATATTAACTTTCAGGGTTGTTTTTTCTATTTCTGTTAAGAATGTCATTGCTATTTTGATAAAGATTGGGCTGAATCTGTAGATCACTTTAGGTCATATGTGGGGACATTATTGACCATTATTTCTTGAACCTAAAAGTTCATTTCTGGCCAGGAACAGTGGCTCACACCTATAATCCCAGCACTTTGGGAGGCCAAGCTGGGTGGATCACCTCAGGTCAGGAGTTCAAGACCAGCCTGACCAATATGGTGAAGTCTCTACTAAAAGCACCAAAAAAATTAGCCAGGCATGGTGGCGGGCGCCTGTAATCCCAGCTAGTTGGGAGGCTGAGAGAGACAAATTGCTTGAACCTGGAGGCAGAGGTTGCAGTGAGCTGAGATCGTGACATTGCACTCCAGTCTGGGCAACAAGAGCGAACTCTGCCTCAAAAAAAAAAAAAAAAGTTTATTTCTTCTGATTTTAAAAGATATTATCACTGTGGGTCCCAGAAAGTATCATGGACCCATGCGCTGTGCATCCTCCCCATCTCCGTCCACCCCAGCACATGGCACATTCTCCTGGCACAC